GAAATGACAGATTATTAACCGAGATCACTCAAAATTAGAGACGAGAGAACCTTTAAAGCAGCTATAGAGAATCGAAGGTGAAACCTTTTAGGGTTTATGAGAAAGAAATGAGTACCTCAACACTTCGCTTCCTCTGTGATTTCTTCGCTTTTTGTTAAAACCCTACTTATTCGAGGAAAGGGTTTATGTAGCCAAGTTGCAAACTTTCCAAGTAAATCGTGACCGTTGAAAGTTACACACGTATGGCTTTTTCATTGGGTCGTCATTTGTTTTAAGGTAACAGCCCAGTAGCTATAACACTTAAAAAAAATCCTCTTTTTTTTTTCTGGTTTTTAAACGAAAAACAAAAACACTGAGGGGAGTTCTCTCTTAGCTGTAAACAAGGTGTTTGCTTTCGATTTTCTGAGGCATTTGTGAAGTGTTAGGGTCGATTTCTCTGATGATGATGAATAATTTCGATGTTGTACCATTTCGTTTGAGTAATTTGCTGGTTGTTTGAGCACCATGCCTGGAATTTTCGTCATTGTAAGTTTAAAGTTTCGTTTTTTCGTCTCTCTTTCTTTCTGGGTCAGACTTAATCCATTCAAAAACTTGATTTTGGTGAATGTTTGGTTTTGCAGTAGTATCTTTGAGTAGGTGGGTAGTTTTGATGATGGACGTTCATGAGCATGGAGTTTGTGTGGACAAGAATAGTCGGGTTGTTCAATGCAATTACTGTGAGAAGAAAATGACTACCTTTTATCATCTGAAACGTCACTTGGGTGGTGTAGGTGGAGATGTAGCTCCCTGTGAACAAGTTAAAGATTTTATCAGAGATACGTTTCGAAAGATGGTTACAGAGGAAACTTGTGGTGTTAATGGTGGAAGAAGCAAAAGTGTTTCTCCTGAGAATGATGATAAACATGATTTGTTTGACAACAAAGGCCAAAACTGCATTGGTCTTAAGATCCCTGATTCTCGTGATTTAAATGGATGGATGCTTCAAGAAGCCTTGAAGGATGTGCAAGATCATGTGAAGAAGGTTAAAGATTCGTGGGAGGTCACAGGTTGCAGCATTTTGTTGGATGCTTGGGTTGATCAGGGAGGTCGTGATCTGGTTGCTTTTGTTGCGGATTGTCCAGGTGGTCCTGTGTATCTGAAATCTTTTGATGTCTCAGATATAAAGAGCGATAGCAATGCCTTGATATCGCTAGTAGATGGACTTATCGATGAAGTTGGAATGCATAACGTGATTCAGATTATTGCGTGTTCAGCTTCTGGTTGGGTTGGTGAATTAGGCAAGCATTTTGCAGGTAACAGGAAGGGAATTTTCTGGTCTGTGAGTGTTTCTCACTGCTTTGAGCTTATGCTTGTGAAGATTGGGAAAATGTATTTCATTGGAGACATTGTTGACAAGATCAGTAAGATTACAGAGTTTATCAACAACAATAAGATTACTGAGTTCATCAAAGCTCACAGTCATGGAGTAGACATGACTGTTTTCTCCTCCGAGTTTGAGTTTGTTTCGCCATATCTAACTCTAGAGAGTGTTTTCAAGTCGAAGAACGAATTGGCAGAGATGTTTGCTTCACCTGATTTGAACAAAGAAGAAGACATAACAATATCCAAATTGGTGAAGGATTCCTCATTTTGGGAAACTGTTGAGAGAGTTGTGAAATGCACATCGCTTCTGATTCGCGGTCTACACTTGTTTATCACCACCAACAATCAGCATGTCGGATATATCTATGACACTATGGACAGCATAAAGGAGAGTATCGCGGGAGAATTCAATGGCAATAAGTTATGTTACATGCCATTATGGGATGTGATAGACGATGTATGGAACGAGCACCTTCACATTCCTCTTCATGCTGCCGGTTACTTTCTTAACCCGACAGCCTTCTACTCGAGTGATTTCCTTCTTGATCCAGAAGTTGCCACCTGCGTTACCGCCTCTCTGGTTCATTTGGTAAAAGAATGTCCTATTCAACTTAAAGTTGCTTCACAGCTTGATATGTACAGACTCGGTCAAGATTGCTTCAACGAGGCCAGTCAAGCTGATCAGATCTCTGGAGTTTCTCCAGCTGAGTGGTGGTCTCAGAAAGCGAACGAGTACCCGGAACTGCAGAGTTTCGCAGTTAAAATTCTGAGCCAAACATGTGAAGGTGCTTCAAGGTATAAGCTGAAGAGAAGTTTTGCAGAGAAACTACTGTTCACTGAAGAAATGAGCCATTATGAACAATATCATCTTGAAGAGTTGGCATTTGTCCACTACAATCTCCATCTGCAAAGCTACAAAGCCAAAGTAAAGGAAGAACATTGAAGTGATCGTTCGGCAATTTTAGTCAATGTGCAGATTTTAGTTTTGTAGTTTGTATATTCATCAATGCTGGTGAATATAGATATATGCATTATTATTTGTCTCGCTCATGCAAAATTATGAGACATGAGAGTCTTAAATTCTGTGAAACAAACGATTAATTAAGATTATGCAAATCAAATTACATCTCCACAATGGAGTATAATATTCTACAAGCTTATTTACATGTAATCAGAAAATCACTGCATAAGTTAAGAAAACAATATAGCTCAAAAGAACAGAGAGGTAATCATAAAACAATTGACTCATCATCATCTCCTACGAGAGCTGCGTAATGATCTTGGAGATGGCAAACACTCAAAGAGATCAAGGAGCATATTCTCAATGTCTTCACAAGTGTATCTGATATGTTTTTCGCCTATACGAGTTGCATTTCTTCCGAGAAATCCCCTGTAAGACTGAACAACTTTGACTGAGGTCGAGATGTGTATATCATCGCGGAGTTCTGGATCAGGAACAGACCAACGGGTTTGATTCTTGTAAACATCATCGAAGGCAAGAGCGAAAAGCCTGCATTTTTCTCTCAGGGTAGCTACAGAGTTGTTGTTGTCTTTGAGCAAAGAGAGAATAGAGCTCCATGTGGATCTTTCGTAGTTTGTGACATCGTGTTGGTACCTTGCGATGTGTTTCTTGATCCATTCGTCTCCAAAGAAGTATCTCAGCTCCGATCCCTTTACCTTCTGGACCATGTAATGAAAGTTGTTGATTAGGAAGATGAATTTAAGGGATTCGTCTGCGTAAAGCTGAGCTTTTCGGTTGAGGCTGGACTCCAGAGTTGTGGCGATTGACCGGAGATGTTTAGCCATTGGAGAGAATGTGGAAGGGAGGATGTCTTCTCCAGTTTTCTCCGGGATTGAGTCATCAACTTCTAAATTCTGAAGAAGCAAGTTTAGAGTATCGGCGTACTCAGGGAGAAGCTTCAAGTAGTTCATTACATACCTCGTCAAATGATGAATTTGGCCCCCTGGAAAGGCGCGTGAGGATTCATTTGAGGCAATTGCGTCTTTGAACTTTAAGAACGTTGCGGTTGTACGACCAGCTAGGTTTCTTGAAAGCTCGTGGAACGCCATTCTTAGAAACACGCCTGTTTCATCCGGGAAGAGGTTATCGACATCCAAGAGAAGCTCTGCTGAAACCTCATACATGCTAAGGAAGCGCTCAAGCATTTCTGGCTGGCAAGATCTCAGCACTACAGCTTCACCAAAGTTGAGGAGAGATAGAATTGTATCTTTAGAGATTTCAATGAAGCAAGCCGTAGAAATCGACTCAAAGTCTCCCAGTATCTGTTCACATAGCTTTTTTTCACTGGCGAGATAGACTTGGGTGATGATCTTGAAAACCCTTGTCCATTTTCTCATTGCACCATTCAAATCCTCCCATTCCATTTTAAGAACATCGACGCAGCTGAGTCTTTCCATTTCGAGAGTGACCATGTACTCCCCCAGAGCTTCTCTTCGAACGCTGATGAAAGCCTCACGAAATGCTTGATCATACTCGCAAGCAAACATGGCATTTGCAATAGCCTTGACGTGAGGAACGACGAGGGGATCAACTAAATCAGCATTTTGGATTCCCAAAGTCCGTTCATCATCTTCGGATGAAGAAGCTTCAACAACAACTTCATCATCTAGGGAGACAAAGGACTCGTCGTAAACAATATCCTTTCGACGAGAACTACCATCCAAGTACTCAGGCTTCACGTGCTGTTTGTGCTGATACAGAACGTCGCAGAGCTCTTTCTCAAGCCTCAACATCCCGATGTCAAGAGCAACCGTAGCTTGGTTGTAAACATCTTTCTCCTGGTTAGTTTTGATGGGCAAAGCGTTGAAACCCATAATAACTGTTTGAACTTCATACAGGGCTTGAAAGAACTGATCGGCTTCAGAGAGACCAGCTTCAAATATCATCGAACGCTTTGTCTCCCAGCTGAGGATTCTCTTCTGAGCTTCTTTGAATCTCTCCTTGATCTCAGAGAATCCTGTATCTTCAACTTTGGTATCAACCATCCCAAATGTTGACAACTGCGACTCGAGGTCACTTAGGAGCTTTCTCAAGTTGGCATCGAGGTTATTATCCGATGCCCTCAGTGCCTTAATAACATGGTGACATGCCTCAAAGACATGATTTTTCACTCCAGGAACAGGAAGTTTGGATTCAAACTCTGCCATACCCAAACCAAAGACTAGAGCCTAAACTCAACTTGAATTCTAAGAGACCAACTTTAAACACACACAACAAAGGTAAGAAAAGTCAAAGATGTTTCCAGGTGACTAAAGACTAGACCAATGGAAAACTGTTTGATCAAGCCATGAAGATCGTAAAACTGGAGAATTTTCTAAACAACAAAGAGATGTTCTGCACTTAAAAGATATAAAGATGGAAGCAACTTAACCTCTAAAACTAGTCCCTTTGGCAACACCCGGAATGAAGTAAACAGAGAGGAAGAGGAATCCCCACATGAACATGGTAAAAACCATAACTAGACAAGCTTAATCCATTTGACATACTTATGGTAATAGATGAGTGAAACCCTCTTCAAACCCAACATTTCTTCCTCCTCACAAGATCATACTATCTCTATGAAGAAACAAAGCTATAAGCTTCCACAAGCCCACCAAAGAAAAAGTCAAGTCAACAGCTTCCTGAAAACCCTTTCTTGCTTCTGTAAAAAAAAGGAGAAAACTTTGAGGAAATTCAGACAAGAATCTGATCTTTGATCTCACAGAAAATTTTTATCAAACACTTGGTGATCGAACAGAGTGACGTACCGTGAAACGAGCTTAATTCAACGTTTTCTGGGAAGAAAAACACAAAACCAAGGAAAACAAACACTTGTGATTTCGAATTCTAAATCATCAAAGAACAAGTTGTTGAAGCAAGAGCAAGAGAATCAAGCGAGATTATGTGGAAGAGGAAGCAAAAGGGAAAAGAATTTGATGGTGTAAGCCAATTCTATATAAGAAAGTTGAAAAATGGAATGCCTAGTAGAGCGAAAGAAGAAGCGTAATTTCGCAGATAGTGAAAGCTCGAGAAAATTGATAATAACGAACCTTTTTTTTATTTGTCTTTAAAGATCTAATTGATTCTGCCATTGACGAGACCAAAGGACGAGAAGTCAATTAACTGAAATTTGGGGGCTGGAAATACAAAGTAAGAAACTTGAAAATACTCCCACTTATTCTTATTAATTCATCATAGTAACATCCATATTTCGTTTAGTTACACTTTTCTCCTTTTTATCGATATTGTACACAATTTCTCATCAACAAGGCGCTTTATACGGATTAACAAAGATTCAACGAAGACTATATATTACAAACCACTAAAATA